AACTACCAGCCACCCACGGTGGTACCCGGGGGGGACCTGGCCAAGGTGCAGAGGGCCGTGTGCATGCTGAGCAACACCACGGCCATCGCCGAGGCCTGGGCCCGCCTGGACCACAAGTTTGACCTGATGTACGCCAAGCGGGCGTTCGTGCACTGGTACGTGGGGGAGGGCATGGAGGAGGGGGAGTTCTCGGAGGCCCGGGAGGATATGGCTGCCCTGGAGAAGGATTACGAGGAGGTGGGGGTGGATTCTGTGGAAGGGGAGGGAGAGGAGGAAGGGGAGGAATACTAAACTCTCAAGGGTGCTGCTCGAACAGGGAACATGAATTAGTTGAGGCCCCCCCGGGGTCTGTAGCCGTGTGTGCGCCGCGCTCTGTCCTGTCAATGGTCTGTGCTTCAATGGAAAAGTCTGTGACGGACCCACCCGTCCTCTCCCGTGGGTCTGAATAAAAAGCATTCCCTGGCTCTGGTGTCTTCGCTCCCTGAGGTGCTGTCCCTCTCCCTCCCCGGCTTTACACACTGTCCCCAAAAGCACACACCACTGCCCCTGGGGTCCCTGCCTGCACCGGGCTCTCCACCCTGTCCCTGCTGGGGGTTGTGGCGAGCCTGGCACCCCCCAGCCCCCACAAACTGGTCCTGCCAAACCTGTGCTGCCCAAACTGGTCCTACCTCCCTATCTGGCTGGGCATTTCCCCCAATACCCCAAGGGTGGAGGGAGTGGGGGGTGGCAGTTGGGTTTTCTTAGGAGTGGGAGCCAAGTGAGCACAGTGGGGTGGGTTTAACTCTGGGGGGAGGGGGCTGGGGATCTGTAAAACCCCTCCCACGCTGGCAGAAGCCTTTTGTGTCTCTCCTGCCTGGGCTGGGGAGGGGCTGCACTGCCCCTGGAGAAGAGTGAGGTGTCCTCCTTACCCTGGGAGCCCTGGGGATGAGAGGGGTCCCTTCATCTCACTGGGGGTCCAGGGATGCACGAGGCTCCCTCCAACCCCACCCGTGGTGTGTCCTGAAGTCCTGCTGGCTCCTCTTGCAGGGGTGAGGAGTGGGCTGGGTTGGCCCCAGTCGTTTTGGGGGAGGGGGAATCTGGTAGTAGCTCCTCCCCAGGCAGGGGGGGGCCTCCTCACCCTCCCCTCTGCTGCTGCCTCGGGGCTCTGCTCGGAGATAAATAATGAAGGGGAAGTTGAACACTCAGTGAAACTTGAGCAGATGCTGCAGTGAGGGGGTGGGGTGAGGGACCCCTGGGACCCCCATTTGTGTGGTGCATCCCCCCCCCCCTTGGGCTGCACTATGAGCTCAGAAATGCCTCTGTTAGGCCCAGGGCAGCACCTGGGCCGAGCTCTTCTTGAGCTTCTCAGCAACACTGTCCATTCCCAGGAACTTACATTGTCTAACGAGCCCCTGGATTTTAAGGAACAGCCTTGGGAACCGATGTTTCCTACCGGGGAGCAACCCAAGTGCAACAACATTTTTTGTTACCAGACTTTCAGAGGAAGTTCCTGACCCCGGGTCAGGGCCAGGATGGAAAATTACAATGAGTAAAGTCAACTCTGGCAATGTTGTAACCAGTGGGTCCTGACTGAGACCCTCCGGGTTCACCCGGGCCCCAGCAGGACCTGACCAGTGTCTCCCTCGGAGCAGGAGACCCCTTGGAGCTGGAGAACTGAACTCGAGGTGGATTTTTCACAGCTATTTACACCTGCACAGGTGGGTGTGTGCACGTGAGGGTGAATATTCCACAGCGAATGTCCGAGGAACGTTGCTCTCACATTGTTAAATACGTCAGACTTGTAAGTAAAATAGACCCACGAGTGAGTTACTATTGTGCTTGTGAGAAATT